AAGACAGCGCTGCGCGCGCGTGTGCGTGTGTGTGTATGTGTGTGTGTGTGTGTGTGTGTGTCTGTATGTATGCGTGTGTGTGTGCCTTTCTATATGCCCCATATTTTTTGCGCTGATGAATCAGTCTAAGTAATACAGGCCTCAATTCGAATAAATCTGTTTTGTTTTATACAGGCGCTGCTAGCTTGCAGTCCTAAAATGCGCTATATTTTTATTCCAAAGCTAAGAGCTCTCAACTAAGCAATGAGCTGCGACAGATTTCCAATACACAAATACAGCACTAATAGACAAATACAATGTCAATAGATATATAAAAGACTAGTACGCCAATAGACCAATACGCAATTGGCTAATCGAGCGACAATAGACAAATACACCAATATACAAATAGAGGTCTAATAAACCACATTGCCACCTACAGACCAATAAGGTACCAATATGCTTTTGGTTTTTCTATAGGGGATTTTCGCTAGGGAAATTATTCTGACACCGAAATACTGTTTCTGAATTTGTAAATAGATCTTCCTCAAATTTACACATTCGAACAGTGAAAATCTGAATTAAACTAAATTGACCTACAGAAAAGCTTCAAAAAATTGACGCACTAAGCGTTCCACATGCTTACAAGACAGTGACAGCATCGGTTGGCACGGCACCTTCGGGTATTGATTTGGCAGAAAGTTATGTGCCACACAGCTAATTTCGCAGAAATACTGAGGAAAAACTTGAAAATATCAAGTAATTTCAAAATACTGATTTGGTAGACACCCTGACACAAGACCCACGTGTTGTAGAGTTCAATAGCAACTTTAAAGCTGCTTTCTGCAAAATTGCGAAATCCTTCAGATAGTTTTGAGCTACTACCTGTCCCCGAAGCCGGCCCTTATTGGAGATCATGATCGGGTAAACAATGTTTATTAAGCAAATAAAACGGGAAGTGTCCCTATTCAGTAAAACCTAATATAACATCTGTGATGGTCCCGGCCCCCTCAGCAAGTGCCCTACAGACCACGAGGGGGCCATCGTGCTTCAAAATGCTCTGGGTTGTGGTGGACCGATGGATTAGTGGGAGGGGACGTGAAAGATTGTGAGAATAGCACCATTTTCTGGGCAGGCATCGGTATAACGTGTCGGGTATATTTTATGCATAAATTGAAGATCCGGGAAATTTGGCGAACGCAGCCGGCGAAGTGCGTCAGCCACCTTCAGTGTGAAGGACTCTGGCGGGAGTTTGTATTGCTGTCGCTGGTAGTATGTAATGTTTCGCGAACTCTTGGTATGCGAGAAGCGGCGAAGCTGGTGTTAGCCGCCCCACTAAGCGCGGCTGCTCGGAAGGTGAGTTCTAGAGCACCGATAAATTTCACCGGAGATATAAAATGGAAGGCCTGTCCCAATCTACTTATCTTTCCGATCTTCGTGAACTGTTGCAAAAGTGCGAACTTAGATGCACAATTGAGAAGTTCCTTTACAGACCACTCCATGTGTTGAGCTGCTTACGAAAGGACGATCAGTGGCAGTTTTTTACCAACTGGGACGCCTCACTAAACGGGGCTCCTCGGAGGGGGAGTTTTCGAGCACCACTAACTACTTAACTTCACCGAAGATATAAAAGGGATGGCGTTTCGTCATCTGCTTACTTTGCCGATCTTCGCGAACTTTCGCTAAAGGGCGAATTCGAATGTGAACTTGACAAGTTTCTTAGAGACCGCTTCCTGTGTGGAGCTGCAACGAGAAGGCAATCAGTGGGTGTTTCTCACCCGCTGGAACCTATAGTATTAGGCGCCTCACTGAGCGGGGCTGCTCGGAGGTTGAGTTTTCGAGCACTGATAACTAAACTTCACCAGCAATATCAAAAGGAAGGCGTGTCCTCATTCACTTATTTTGGCAATTCTCGTGAACTGTCCCAACAATGTGAATTTGGATACGCACTTGAGAAGTTCCATTAGAGACGGCTTCGTGTGTGGAGCTGCTATACGAGAACACGATCAGTGGGTGTTTTTTCACCAGGTGGGAAACTAGTGTTAGCCGCCTCAATACGTGGGGCTGCTCGGCGGGTGAGTTGTCGAGCTCCGCTAACTGCATTTCACCGGAGATATCAAAAGGAACGCATGTCTTCATCTACTTATTTGGTCGATCCTCGTGAACTGTCACTAAACCGCGAATTTGGATGCGCACTTTAAAATTTCCTTAGACTTCGTGTGTGGAGCTGCTACGAGCAGACGACCAGCGGGTATATTTCACTTGCTGGGAACCTAGTGTTAGCCACCTCACTAAGCGGGGCTACTCGGAGGATGAGGTCTCGAGCACCGCTGACTAAATTGCACCAGAGATCTCAGAAGGAAGTCATGTCCTCATCTACCTATTTTGCCAATCTTCGTTAACTGTCGCAAAAGTGTAAACTTTGATGCACACTCGTCAAGTGAAGTGGCCACTGCATGCCGGAGCACGCAGTGGCCATTTCACAGTCAACCTCATGTTCAAGGCGCAAGCGGCGTCTCAGAAAACAAAGGCTGTTTTGGCTGCGGTTCACCAAAACATCTAAAACTCCCTGGTTTAATCCCGTGTTTTGACACAATATGTCGCGGAACACCGGCCTTCGATAAAAATGGCGCCGCCAGAAATACGGAGCTGCGAGACACACCCAACCAATGCCTTTATCGGCGAGAATGGGATCATAAATGTTCATGACAATGATGATAGTCCATTACGCACTTGTTGGTGCTAGCTGCGGGGACAGCAGCCCACCATCACTCAGTTCTCTGCTGATCTCCGGCAGCCGGAATGAAGCGCACCCCCGCATGGACGCAGCCTAGCTGCTTCAAATGCCACAAGAAAAAGGGCATATTCAGAGCACTTGCCAAAGTGGTAGTGATAATACTTCGTCTGAGAAGAATGCAAAATAAAGTAGATGCTGATGGTGCTGTCGCGGAAAGCTTGAACTCTCAGTTTAAGTGCCTTGTCAACCACTGAGCTCACTCATCATTGACGGCGTCTTGGTGAACATGCATGCTTCTTTAGACACGAAACATGCTGTTTCCGTGATGGGAATAACTCAGTTCCGTCCGCTCTTTGCTTCAGCTGTGCTGGAACCTACTACTCTACAGCTTCGTGCCTGCACACGAACACTTGCACAACTCTTCGGCCAGCGTGCAGCATGGCAAGCAGTCGCTCTACGTCATGGGCCACAAGGTGTGACCACTACTGTGCCAGGAGCTGGTGCACGCCAGCCAGCTAGAGTGGGCGAAAATGTGAATCCTGAACAACCTTTCGAGGTCGAATACTACTACTCAGGTCAGCGTTAAAATGAGGCTAGATGCATTGCTTCCGAAATACCAACAGTTTTTCAAGAAAAGTTAGGAATGACAATATAAGAGTGTACCAAACTCTAAAACCTCATAGAAACTGATAGAAACCGGGGATGTACCACCGCTTACCATGACGATATAAGGGTACGCAAAATCGATAACATAGGTATTTGCTGCCACTACCTTTATCTATGCCTTTATGTCAATGGCTACTCATTGCTGAAAGTGAACGACGTGTTCAATCCTTTGTTTGGAGGAATTTCGCTACCTCTGTCACAGAATCGGCGCACAAGGCATCTCAGCAACGACGCAGAAGCTTGACGCACTCCTCAAGGCGCTAACCCCTAAAGACAAGCAGTCGTTCCTGAAAATTGACATTTTCTGCCGCAAGTTTCTTCCTAAGCTACAGCAATGGTGGCACAACCATTTTTCATGTCGCTACGTAAAGAACCCCTTTGTGCGGGGATATTCGTACACAAAACGAATAGCTTGCTAGCTTATCCGTCAATTTTGTCGCACCCATGCAAACCACTCCAGCTATCATGCAACGAATCGCAATATGGTTCATACCCCTGTCACATGGCAAAGCCTTGATTTACAACGACTTGATTCATTTATTTCATTTACTTTTGTTCAATACTGCAGCAACCCTTGGTCGCCAAGGCAGGAGTGGCTACAGTTCAGTGAACATTTACATCAGTTACATAAAAGATTATGTTAGAAGTACAATATAATAAGTAAATACATAAACATCAACAAGATAATCAATTATTGGTAAAGTCTGACTTCATGATTGCAAATAAACCATATAACCACTAAAAACAGTGCAATCACAATTCCACAATAAGTGCATCATTATCCAGTAAAAAAGCATACCCAGTGATCCCAATCCTACAAAAAAGAATCTGACGTTGGAATATTTACCACCTCATGTGGTAGCTCAGCTATGGTCCTATGGAAAAAAAGAGCCGTAATACGCATATATTTTACATTGACGTAGCAAAATAGACTGGCTGTGTTTGTCCGGGTAAGTTGTGACCTGTAAAATTCCATGTGCGCCTGGAAGTCTAGTTTACTGTGGTTGTTAACAATGTTAAACATATTGAGACTGTGCAACTTCCATTGTGATTCCAGATGGCAAAGGCCAGATTGCGTGTAAAGACCAATTACGGAAACGTTCCTATTATATTGTGAATAATATGAAACGCTTTTCTCTGAATCTGTTCAATGCGATTGATCCCTGTTTCGGTGTATGGATCCCGGAACGCATCTGAATATTCAAGTAATGGACATATGATGGACGTGTATGCAATCAATTTTGTCATACTGTTACAGTGTTTCAATTGATGTCTGAGCAATCAGAGCTGTTTTGAAGCTTCAACTACAATTTTTTTAAACGTGTGTGTTTCAGTTTAATGTATAATCAATAGTTAAGCTCAAGTATTTATTATAACCAACACATGTGACTAGGTTATTCTTTACTTATTACGTGTGGGGAAATGATATTAGGTAAACCTAACTGTCATTTACCTGCGTGATGTCGATAGGCGAAAACAAAAGTCATTTCGAAATGATGACAATGACCTTAATCTTCCCAAGCCATGGCTTTGGGGGAATAAAGATATTTTGAAACTTGCATGGAACATGCAATTGTCATCAAGAATATTTTCTGTAGTAAAAGAGGTGTAGACGTACCTGCGGAATAATGGTGAGTTTGGAGCGAAGGTCGTAGAGGCCGAGGTAGGAGATGTCCATGCCGTCAATGCAGATGGCGCCCCCAGCTGCCTCGATGAGCCGGAACAGCGAGAGCGTCAGAGAAGACTTGCCCGCACCGGTCCGCCCGACGATGCCTATCTGCAACCACAACTCTCCCTATGAGCACACAGTTTCCTACATAACCTCCAGGCGGAATGAAAACGGCCTAAAGCTGCATAAAGGCGAGTAGCATTATCGGTAATGTTAGAACTTGTCTAGAAGAAGGTAATGGCACCCAATATAGTTCACCCATGTTAGGGCCACTCTTTCGTATGCTATAAAGAGCGCGAAAAGACGGTAGCACTGAATGAAAACAGGACGTGCGCTGAACTCTCTGGTTTATTACACAGAACCGAATAAGTACGAGTATTTGCGATAAGCGGCAGTGCACACCGGGTTAAGACGCTAACACAAAAAGGACGACACCGAATGCTTGCGCCGTCCTTTTCTTTAGTTAACTTTTTGTGCGCTGCCATTTATCGTAAATATGACGAACTAAGTACATTTTAAACAGATACGTGTAGTCCGAGTGCACGTGCATCCTCACATTTTCTGTGTGTCACCTTTTTGTCGGGGAAGTTGATTGGCCGCAATCATGGAGATAGACAGGGCCTAAATTCATGTTCGTTTTTCACGATCGGTTTCTATGATGTGACGTGATCGAAGTGTCTATATACCACATGCGTGCTATGAAACAAACGTCAAAACTGCCTTAGCGCTAATGAGAATAAAAATCTTCATGGCACGAGACAGTCCATCCAGCTATGCTTCCATAATGCGCCACGGACACCTGTACGCTTTTCGATAGGCGATCAGCTTCAAACTACCCACCAGTTGCGCAATTCACTTGACCTTGAAATGTCGAAACGATGAGATACGCAAGAGTGACGACCAACAAGACACGCGAACAAGCGTCAGACCATCGGATAATCTCTTTTCACCTTGACGCACACATTTAAAACTTCACGTGGTCACACACAGCATGAAAAGGATACAGAAAGGTGACAATATCACATATGCCTATTCAGATCAACGTACCTTTCTTTCTGCAGAACGGTGGTTAGAACACTGATATATGGATTCTTATGTTCGTGCAAACGCTTTATCTTCTAGCAAGTTGTCTGCTCATAATTCCTGGTGATGTTTCTTTTGTCTAACTGGGTTGCGGATCTACCCTCTTCGCAAGGCACACCTATATTTTTTCGGAATACTGCAGTCACTTTATTTCAAGCAGACGTAATCCTAGATTTTGTAACTTGTTTTTGAAAATAATAAAACTTCAAACTTCAAACTAGTAACCTCTGCAGGCAGGTGTGAGGCTCAATTGCTATGTGGGGTTTAACATCCCAAAAGCACCATATTATTATGACAGAAGCCGTAAGGGAGAGGCTTCGAAAATTTCGAGCTCGTGAGCTTTTTTAACGTGCACCCAAAATCTGAGCACACAAGCTTAGAGCATTTTCTCCTCCAATGAAATTGCAGCCGCTGGAGCCAGGATTCAATCCCGTGATCTGCGGGTCAGCAGCCGAGTACCTTAGCATCTAGAGCAACATGGCGGGGTGCGACAGTGTGCACATGACACTTTTTGCACGTATGAAAAAACTAATTGAGCAATAAGACTTCATGAGAGAATGAGAGCGACTCGCCTTCTCTCCCGGATTGATATCGCAGCTGATACCCTTGAGCACGAGTTCAAGGTCGTTCCTGTAGCGGGTCGAGTAGTTGTCGTAGACCACACGTCCCGCAGTCGGCCACCTGTCGTCCGGCTTGAAGTCGGGCCTCTCCCAAGGAGCCTACAGCATACAGGAGACAATATCAGACACCCATGCTGCGTGGGACGCTGTGCCGTGGTTCTTCGTTAATAATAGGCCTTGTATTAACATGTTGCATTTGTGTTACGATGGCAGGGTTCCCGGGATACACGGCACAATGAATGTAGAAAAAACTTTTTCAGAAAATGCGCATCACCTGCTCTAGATGGCGGAAGCCTTCTGGCACTGTAAGCCACTAAACGTGACCAGAATTATTTTCATTTCTATTGCACTTGGGCATGTCTGATGTTGGGCGTGAGCAGCGGTGCTGTTATTTCTAGGGACAACCAAAAAGCTCAGCATCTCCTCTTGCAGTGTCATGTGAATGCACCTCCAGCGTAGGCTGTCACCCTTTTCACGCATACTAACCAGACATCTGGAGATTTGTTAAGCATTTTGAATGCGAAGCTTTTCTTAGCGAACATGGGTAATGTTGGCCGTATCCTATATCTACCTATCCTTCTATCTAGCCGCCTACGACATTTAGCTCTCCTGGCCGTCCTGATATTGGCATCTATACCATAATTGGTATAGCATAACATGACTATAGTGAGCATAAATGACTACTCAGAACATGAAAACCATGGCATGCATATCATAAAATATTATGAAAAAAATGTCATGTTCTCACTACTTTTGCGGAGCTTTCGTCCACATATGCCTATTCAGATTAATGTACCTTTCTTTCTGCAGAACAATGGTTAGAATACTGGTATGAAGTTATGGCATGAATGCGTAGAAAACGTGACAGCCCCCAACGTGAAAATCATGACATGCATGTCATGTAAGTAATGACTACATGCCATGCTCATGGTGCGCTCTCGGTCGTTTCGCTAGCTTCACATATACTTAAACTGGTATTACGAGACGTGAATGGATGAAGGTATATGACTGGTTCAAACATGATAATCTTGAGATGCGTGTTATGTAAAAACATAACTACATACCATGCTCATAATGCGCTCGCGATCAGTTTCGCCAGCTTGACATGTACCGAATTTCGTACAACAATATGTGAATGGGTGACGAAGTTAAATGACAGGTCTAAAGGTGATAATCATGATATGCGTGTCATGTACAACATGACTGGTGCTACGCTCATAGCGCACTGGCAGCTGTTTCGCCAGCTTCACATATACCAAATTTAGTTTGACGTGACGCGATTAGACGACGAAGGTAAATGTGAAAACTAAAGACGATAATAATGACATGCGTTTTATGTAAAACATGAATATATGACACGCTCATGATGCGCTCGTGGCCACTTCGCTAGCTTCACATACCAAATTTGGTATAACGTGGCGCGGACGGACGACGAAGGTAAAAGATGCGGCCAAAGATGATAATCATGACATGCATGTCATGTAGAACATTACTACATGACACGCTCATGATGCCTTCGCGGCCGTATCGCTAGCTTCACATATACCAATTTTGTTATGGCGTGACGCGAACGGACGACAAAGGCAATTGACATGTCCATACTTGATAGTTATGATATGCGTGTCATGTAAAACACGACTCCATACTACACTCATAGTTCACTTGCTGTCGTTTCACTAGTTTCATCTATACTAACCATTGGGCACGGCGGCTGTACCAGCATGCGGACCGTCTGTATCCCGTTCCTGTTTATTGTACAGGTAAGAAAGCAGTATGGGAAATGTGTTCGCTCTGATGATCCCTTTTTGCTGGTGCTGCCGTGCCCATGGCTCAGTTGTTTATGGTGCCGCGCTGAAACTGTACTGAGGAAGTTATTGTTACTGTGTGGTGATATTGAGATGAACCGAGGCCCGGGTCTGGAGCAGATTGCCAAAATGTTAGCAGACATAGCAACTGATGTTAAAGACATCAAAGAAAAGTGACTATCAGATATTTAGAAGAAGCTTGATGCCCTATCTGGGCTTGAAGGGAAGGTAAATGCCTGTCAGGAGCAGCTGTCTTCGTTGGCAAAAACAATAAGTGTTCTAGAAACTAAAATCGATCAACTGGAAAACCATAGTCGCCGGTCAAATCTAATCGTTTATAGTCTTCCCGATGGAGGAAATGAAAACAACGAAACGCTTGAAAGTGCCGTCAACACAGGCATTCTTAAAGATATCATGAAACTTGAACCTGTCGGTATCGAGCGTATTCATCGTATAGGTAGACCTGAAACTGGCAAAGTTAGGCCAGTCATTTTCAAATTGCTTGATGGGCGAGACAAAGATAGAATACTTAAAAACGGGTCCAAACTTAAAAATACCACGCTAGCTATCGGGGGAGACTTTTCTCCGAAGATACGAGATATTAGAAGAAAGCTTTGGGCAAGTGCAAAAGCTAACCAAGATAACAATGAGAAAGTAAACTTAGCATTTGATAAACTGTATATCGATGACCAGGCGTATGTCTGGGACAGTGATAAAGGCGAAATAATTTCGGTAAAAAAAACGACGGAGGCAAAACCCGCCCGATGACCAGACGGTATGCCCAATCAACGAGTCACACGTAGGAAAACAACTCGCATTTTCTTCAAAAAATATTTCAACTAAAAGTAAATTTTTCGTTACCGGTCAGCAGGGCGTTAAACAAAAATGCCTTCGCTTGGTTAACATAAATGCCCGAAGCGTCAATAACAAAACTGAACTAATGGAAATTGCCTTACTTCCACACGATCCACATGTAACAGTTGTGTCTGAGACATGATTGCTCCCCGAAATAGCTGATGATGATGTATTTCTGCCCTCGTATAAGGTGTTTAGGAAAGACAGAACTACAAGGGGAGGTGGAATAGCCATACTTGTGAAAGAAACACTGCAGGCCTCATTAATTGGTTACATTGACGACTTAGAATGTGTATGCATTAAGCTGTCTTGTTGAAGCCACATTTTCATCTTGTATGCACTTTACAGACCCCCAGAGGCTGCTTTTGAATCCACGAAAAAGTTAGCTGAACATACGTCTCAATTTTGCAACAACAAAATTTTGTTAGCAGGTGATTTTAACCTACCTTCTGTTGACTGGGAACGTTATACGACAGGACCATTGTACAAAAAAAAGAGACTGAGATTGTGTTTAACATCATGCTAACCCATAACTTGATGCAAGTTGTGAGGGAGCCAACTCGTGTGCATAGATCCTCTAGTTCAATTTTGGATTTAGTATTTATAAGCCGTGGACTCGAGCAGCACTCTGTTTCAGTAGAACAGGGCCTGTCCGATCATAAATTGGTTACAGTCTCTTTTCCTCTTAACAATTTCCCAAGTACTAAAAAATCTTCAGTGCGTACCTTCAAAGATTACCCGCGAGCAGATGACGTATCTATATTAGAATACATGGAGTCGTGTTTTGCTGCCTTTGAGGTGGGCGATGTCGAGACATTGCTGGAATCAATTTAAAGAAATGTGTCATCATTGCATCAATTGTTTTATACCGAATAAACATAAAAAAGTGCACAAAACAACTCCCTGAATAATGCGAGATATAATTCACTTAAAACGAAAAATAAAACGCTTAAGGCAGAAGCATGCGCAGTCTCGTTCCCTCTCAGTCCTCAAAGACAGCCTTGCACGGGCTATACGCTCATCCAGAGATCGCTATTTTAAGACGCTGCTGCCCAACTTAATAAAAACCGACCCGACTAAATTCTGGAACTACATTGGTGACAGAAAGAAACCTCTCACCGAAATGGCAATTGATAGCGTGATTGTAACCGATCAAAGAAAGATTGCTGATCATCTTAATGCGTATTTTCAAAGTGTGTTTTCCGGCTCTAGTGTTTATGTTCCAAACGGTAGAGTGTTCGACCCATGCGAAGTCTCTTTCGTGTCTTATTCTGGTGTTTTTTCGATGCTTCTGAATCTTAATTCTAAAAAGTCCTGTGGACTTGATAATCTCCCAAATGTGTTCCTAAGAAGATATGCCGAACATGTCGTTAAATTTCTGCCTGAAATCTTCCGTGTTTCATTGTTGTCATCAAAGCTACCATGTGACTGGAAAGCCGCACGCATAAGTCCTGTATTTAAGAAAGGTGATCGCTTGTCGCCTCAAAATTACCGACCCATATCCTTGACCTCACCCTGCTGCAAATTAATAGAACACATAATTGCTACACAAATTGGAAATTTTTTGACTCAACATTCAATCCTGACCAATTTTCAACACGGCTTTAGAAAGGGATATTCGACAGTGACGCAACTAGTTACAATAATCCACTCATTTGCACTTAACCCGGATAACAATAGGCAAACTGACAGAATAATTTTGGATTTCAGTAAGGCATTCGACAGGGTTCCACATGACAAATTGATCTTGAAACTTAAACGTATTGGCCTTCCCGAAATCCTTGTAAACTGGATTGCTGACTATCTAAATAACCGTGAACAGTTTGTTGCTATTAATGACCAGCGTTCGCAGTCTGTACAGGTCACATCAGGTGTACCCCAAGGAAGCGTCCTAGGGTCATTGCTTTTTCTTTTATACATAAATGATATTGTAAATGTCATCACCCCTTCTGTACAAAATAGATTATTTGCAGACGATTGTGTTTTGTTCCGAGATATTAACTCTTTAGATGATCAAAATGAACTCAACTCAAACCTTCATAATATTCATCTGTGGTGCAATGAGTGGGGAATGATCCTTAATGCAGAAAAGAGTGTCTGCATGCGTTTGACACGTAAGAAAGTTCCACTAAATAATACGTACCAGCTTGGGTCTTCAACTCTTAGAGAGGTTACAAGCTACAAATGTTTGGGCCTAACTATAACTAGTAATTTGTCTTGGAACATGCATGTAGACAACATATGTTCAGCTGCCTTTCGGAAACTTGGTTTTCTAAGACATAAACTGCGTACCTGTCCTGCCAATGTAAAGCTTCTTAGTTATTATTCTTTTATACGACCTAAACTGGAATACGCCAGCATTGTATGGGACCCTTACACTAAGCTTAATATTAACAAACTTGAGCGGGTTCAAAGGAAAGCTGTTCGGTTTATATGTTC